CTGCCATGCATAGACAAATTAATTTAAAGGAATTTTGTTTTTGTATTTGCTAGACTCTTTTTACATAAATATTTATATTATGACCTCAAGGCATAACCATTTGGTATTTTGCACGTTGTTTTTTTTTTTTTATTTTGGGTGATCCTGCACCTGCCGATTATATGCGTTGGATGTGTACTGATTGATTCTTTAGTCTGTGAGAACATGTTGTATAATTGTAATTGAACTAGCTTTTAGTAACTGTGAAAACTCTTACATATTGTTGCTTTGTGTCTATTGTTTTTATGTTAGGTGTTGTGTATTTTTTTGTGCTAATGGTACCGATCATTGAGTTAAGCTATTTCCGACTGATTTTTACAGCGGATGACCGTGAGGGCATTCTGGTGTTATGTTGCCGCAGACATTTCTACCCACGTGACTTGCGTTTTTGATTGATAACCGAACGTATTTCGTATAATTACGCGGATATTATCGAGTGCAAAATAACATTCCTTATCGCTTGTTATATATTAATTTCATCAATAAATATTTATGAAAATATTTTTTAAGAACATAGATAAATGATATGAAAATGTTTTGTCGTGAGAAATATATATATCAATAGCAAATCAAGAATACCGAAAATCTGTGTTAACGCATGCGGAAGAATATCTCAAGAAGGTTTTGTAACAAAGGCGGGAAAATATGAATGCCTACTCAAATTCAATCTATTAGAAAAACGAATTATTACAGAAGAGTATCCACCATGCACTTGCACTGCACTATCATTAGAATGGTAGAATAGAATGAATGATATACAAATTGATGAAAATTATATATAACTGTTATACAAATATTAATATAATATATAACAACAAACCAGAGTATACTGATAACAAATGATTATATCACTACAATATAATAGTTATAACGGTGAGGTTGAATTCCTTGTCATTTATTCATCATCCACACAGGAACTTGTCTCAGAAAAAAATATATCTATGTTCCTTAAACTAACTTTCAGGTATAGAGATGTGGTTTTTTTTTCTGAGACAAGTCCTTTTGACCATCCACCAGAACTTGCGGTCATCCGATGTTCAGTACTTCAGTACTTTGATAACAGTTTGTTCTCATGTTATGCTGTGACGCCACTTTACCTTGGTTAGGAGGAGGTTTGAGTGCTCACAAATATGTTAAACCAGCCACATTCTGTATTTACCTTTTAAAATAAAGGGCATGGACGATTTTACCTAGGAATATTAATGACATGGACATGATGTCCTAGGAAAATTAGTCCGAGGACATACATTTTTTTTAAATATAAATACACAACTCTTAAACAATATTAATACATAACATTCAAATTTCCATGGTTTAAATGTAAATGATTTAATTGATTAATATTTTTCCTATAAAACAGGACATGGACGTTTTTACCTAGGAATATTAATGACATGGACTTGAATTCTTTGGAAAATTAGTCTGGGGACATAAATTACTAACATCGGACTAAAAATACTAGTAAATTCTGTAACCATGGACTTTTTATACTAGTAATATGTGTCCGCCCGGACATATTTTACCAGGACAAATTTATCTCTTACATATGTCTGTCGTATTTGTTGTTTTTTTGTAAATTGTATTGTTATAAATTAGGGCATTAGTTTTCTCGTTTGAACTGTTTCATATATTGCATGTCGGGACCTTTTGATTTTTAGGGGGGGGGGGGGGCTAGGATGAAATTAAAAAAAAGACATGACAGGAGTTTTAAGTAAAAAAAAGGCAGGATGAGCAACTTTGCAAAAAAAAAAAGGTAGGATGATAATTTAAAAATCAAATGGTAGCTCCCTAAAGCCGCCTATACAGTATGGGTTTTTCTCATTGTCGCAGGCTGTAAGTTGACCTATAATTGCTTATATCTTCGTCATTTGAACTCTGGTAGATAGTTCTCTAATTGTGATGTTACAGCACTGTCCCATGTTAGGGGAGGTTTGGGCGCTTACAAACATATTAAACCCTCTTTGTCCTGTATGTGCATGTCCCAAGTGACCAAAATATGAAGTTGAGAACATAATTCTGTTTCTAGGGAAGGGTGTTTTGGCTGGACACTAAAATGTCTTACCTGGTTTACTGATACTAATTGACATCACATAAATAAAACATTATCAATGAATCATAAAAATGAGGTCAAGGTAAGATGGACCACTTCCTAACAATACCTGCCATGTGGAAAAACCTCCCCTAAGATTAAGGGGATTATGTGTTACAACCTTTTTTCATTACAAAATTTTGTAATAAGATACGAAGTATATATTTTAATATTTCAGCAGAAAATGATCAAATTAGATTATCTTTAAACAGATTTCTTTAGATACGTGTGTACAACAAAATGTTTGATCATCACAAATGGCAAAAAAATCCTCCCCTATAAAAATGGTGAAATTCAAACATAGGAAATTATTCAAATACATGTACTATCAATACAACCTATATAATGATGGGGTAAAAATTGGGTGTTTATCTTTTTTGTCAAATAGGGATATTTTGACCTTCCTGCAGGTGTCAGGTCCAAATGGGGATATTTCATTTTCTTTTAGCGAAAATGAACTCTCTCCTAGAACTAGTGTATTGGCAGGTATGTCTTTCAATCATTCTGTACACTGAATATATTACCTACTAGTATTACATTTTGCATCTGAAAAACAGATCTCATAAAATATATTTACCAATGAACCTTGAAAACCAAGTCAAGGTCAGATGGAAATAGCATCTTACAATAATTCTACATATTGATAATTGTTGACTTATAACATAAATTCTGAGAAACAGACCTCATAAAAAACTTTACACTGATCGATGAACCATAAAAAATTAGGTCAAGGTAATATTTACCCTGTCTGATAAGCATACACACCTTACAACCATTCTATAAACCAAAAATAGTTGACCTATTGCTTTCTATATCTGAAAAAAGAGGTCTTATCAAGAAACTTAACTTTAACCTTCAACCTTTTATCAATCAAATGAGGTCAAAGTGGGGTGATGAATACTGTAAACCATGATATTTACCAATTAAAGTTGTTCTCTTACAACTTAAAAAATTATCAAATGATAAGAAACTATATAGTTTTTGTCGCTTAACCATGGAAATGAGGTCAAGGACTACAGACATATGCCAGATGGAAATTTCAGACCATGAGGCATATGTTACCAGATGTGGTTTGTCTCCCATTCTGTGACATTCGTCACAGATGTCTCAGGCCAAACAAATATGGCAATGCATGAGTCCTATCAACGTATTTTGTGAAAAAATTGCTACCAAAATACTTTATCTTAAGCTGTTGAATTTCAAGTTGCGAAAAATGGATTGGCAAAATTTTAACAACCAAAAAAATAATTTTCCAATCTTGTTTTGCTGCTTCTCTGTATCTATGATGAGTTTATATATTTATCATTTTTATTTTTCAATGTGTAGATTTGTATGGTTAAATAAGTTTGATGTTTATATGTAACAGTTGCAAAGATAAAAGCCAGAAATGCTAAGCAATTCATAAGAAATTGTCATTCAAGGGTATTAAAGAACTGCTTTAATGAGTTGATTTATATAGTAGCATTCATATTGGCATTTTGTTGGATCTTTTGTGCTGTTGTAACAGTTTCTGTCTACTGTTTCTGTAAACAGTTCTGTAAATGTCACCATTTCAGAGCAGAAAGTTGATTAACAAGGGTTATGTCAAAGACGTCTCATCCTTTTTCTAAAAAAGCTCATTGGAAGATACCAAGACCTTGTTGATAAAAGCTCTGTATCAACTTCACAAATAATACATGATGGTCTTGAAGTATAGATTCTAGGTACTGACGTTGTTTATCATCTTAATTACGTGTTATGGTGTTCTTTTATTTGTCTTTGTATATTTTTAATCTTTACTGTTTAGTCCATTTTTGATATCCTTTTGCATGGCTCGGTATTTATACATCTTGCCATTGTTATTAATTTTTTCTGCTATGGTCATTATGTGTATTCTTGTTAATCATTTTTGCTTATGTGTTTTGTCTATAGAGTGTCTATATGCCATTTCGTTTTTCTTTGTTGACACAGTTGTCTGCTTTTATAGTGATTAAGATTATAACACAATGTTGACTGCTGTACCCCAATTTTTGACATTTTAACCTATCATGTCTGTTTGTTTTGCTCACACATTGTTGTCAATATAATGGAATTCTATGGGAATATCATACAAATGAGAGGTTTAGCTAGCTATATAACCAGGTTTAATCAACCATTTTCTACATAAGGAAATGCCTGTACCAAATCAGGAATATGACAGTTGTTTTCCATTCGTTTGATATGTTTGAGCTTTTGATTTTTTTGCCATTTTATAAAGGACTTTCCATTTTGAATTTCCCTTGGAGTTCGGTATTTTTGTTATTTTACTTTTGATTATAATTTTCAAGATAATAGGCAAAATATTAAAACTGGTCAATTGGGTAATAACTTCTATAATATTTCAATCATGATTAGCATTTGATCTTGTGATGCTAACCTTTTAATTCTCGTGACAGTTTCGTTTTCAAATTAATGAGCAAAAAAACTCTAAAATTGATCATAAATTGTCATACAAGGAGTCATCTGACTATTTTAGTTAGAAATGAAGATTACCTGCATGTAAGGTAGCTAGATCTTGAAATTCTGAACCTTTTTATCCCAGCAGAATTTCGGTTTCTAAATATGGTTTTCAAGAAATGAGACAATTAATTGCATCTTGCTTTAAAGTTCTATTTTTAGCCATTGTAGCCATTTTGCTTGATGGACCAAAATGTAATTGATAAACTATAATCTAAACTTCCAAAACATCAATCATGACAAGATTGGTAAACATTTGTATAAAAGTTTCAGAGGAGATCTTTGAAACAAGTTTACGATGAAAAAGGCATAAAAAATCATTAGAGACAAAGTCATGGCAATAGCTCATATTGCTCTTAAGGGCCAGATGAGTTTGAAAGAACAGACTACACTGACAAAAGCTAATATGACACATTTTAATTCCAATTGTCAATATCCTTCCACAATTCATCACAAAGTTTAACTTTACAGAAGTCATCATTCCAGAAATTTTCGGGTAAATCATTGTCTTTGGTAAAATCTGTTACATCCAAAAGTTTTATATTGGACATGTGTAAGATGATCTTTAAACTTCCAGTTGAATCAGAGCCTTTGTTACTACTTTTATCATTGAAACTATTACTACACAGGCAAACTGGAGCTATATCTTCACACCTGAAATATAGATAACTATAAGTAACTTATAAAACTGTTGGTCCTGCATATATATTACATGTACTTTAAAAGTGAATATTTTTTTTACAATTCAAGCATTAAACGTTAAGTGTGCCCTTTTTGTGATGAAAAATTCCCTAAAGTCCATTTTCAGATTCCATTCCATGGTCATTGGCAATAATTTGCTTTAAATCTTTTAATAATAAGATTCAGGAAAGTTTTTGTTCTAAATGGCGTTAAAGAGTCCTTCCAACTGGAAATCAAAATACTGAAATTTTCTCAAGCATTCAGCTAAATATTAACTTCAAACTGTTTTGGTTTTTACTGGACAAAATGTCTTAATTTATTTTCAAATATTTCAAGAGTGTAATAAAGTCAATAGTAGTAAACCACTGTTCAAAAGTCATAAATCGATTAAGAGAAAACAAATTTGTGATGAAATTTCAAAGGGTGCAATCTGAGAACAAATCATCTATTATAATTTGCTGAATATTTATAACTTAGCCTGTCCAATGTTGGGAACTATGCCAATGGTAGATTTCTATTGTGTATCTTAATATATTTCTTCATTGTGGATGTTTGATAGTCTCTGATACATTTATTGATTACTTTTCTAGACTCTGATCTTTGTGGATGTTTGATAGTCTCTGATACATTTATTGATTACTTTTCTAGACTCTGATCATTGCGGATGTTCGATAGTCTCTGATACATTTATTGATTACTTTTCTAGACTGATCTTTGTGGATGTTCGATAGTCTCTGATACATTTATTGTTTACTTTTCTAGACTCTGATCATTGTGGATGTTTGATAGTCTCTGATACATTTCTTGATTACTTTTCTAGACTCTGATCATTGTGGATGTTTGATTGTCTCTGATACATTTATTGATTACTTTTCTAGACTATCTGATCTTTGTGAATGTTTGAATGTCTCTGATATATCTATTGATTACTTTTCTAGACTGATCTTTGTGGATGTTCGATAGTCTCTGATACATTTATTGATTACTTTTCTAGACTCTGATCATTGTGGAAGTTTGAATGTCTCTGATACATTTATTGATTTCTTTTCTAGACTCTGATCATTGTGGATGTTCGATAGTCTCTAATACATTTATTGATTTCTTACTAGACTCTGGATATTGTGGATGTTTGATAGTCTCTGATACATTTATTGATTACTTTTCTAGACTCTGATCATTACAGATGTTTGATAGTCTCTGATACATTTATAGATTACTTTTCTAGACTCTGACCATTGCGGATGTTTGATAGTCACTGATACATTTATTGATTACTTTTCTAGACTCTGATCATTGCGGATGTTCTAGAGTCTCTGATACATTTATTCATTACTTTTCTAGACTCTGATTATTACGGATGTTTGATTGTCTCATTTCTAACATTTGATGACATTTTGATGCATGTCTATCACCTTACAATTACCAGAATCCAGTTATCTCCCCCTAGTTTTTGAAGTTTGTACATGCTTCATTATGTTTTTTCACATGTAATTTTGATCTTTATTGTTTTAAATGTCAAACGGATAAAAGTTTGAATCATGTAACCTTGACCTTTATTGTTTTATACATAAAAGTGATCATGGTGCTAGCTGATTAAATAATGTTACCTTGACCTTCATTGTTTTAAATGTCAAATTAATAGCTGTTTTAATTATATAATCTTAACATTTCCTTTTCTGAATATCAAATTGAAAACTGTTTTAACCATATCATTTTGAACTTTGTTGTTTTTTTTATAAAAGAAATAGAATTTTTGAATCCTGCATGCACTCATTAACTGTGTGTTAACTGTGTGACCCTGCAACATACTCACAGATAAGTAAAGGCCAAAAAAAACCACGAACAGGAAGTTGTAGTTTTATTTGTTGAATATTTTTTTTTATAAAAAAACACATTTGAACTCTTATCTCGTTAGAACCATTAAATTGGTTACTAATGGAATTAAATATTAAAATAAGAGTTAAATGGAGTCAGGGCAGATTCCCACCAACCTCTTATTTTTATAATATAGCATTTGATGTTGACTATGATGAGATTTTCGAATATTACGTCATAACAAGAATATGTGTCTATAGGACACCATGTCACACTAGCTCTATCATATGTTCATGTTCATTAAACAATGAAATCAGGTCAAAATAATAATTTGGCATATGATTATAAAAGGTCATCTCAGAATGAACATGTGTACATATGATCCATGTAAACTCATTGATCATGTGAATAAACTTATTCTTAAAGGATATCAATTCAACATGGTATTAAGATCTTTGAATATTGATTTTATCAGTACATGTACTAATATAAATATTGATTTTGTTTTTGACAAATTAAAACACAAGAGTGCACACGCTGAAATGTCTCCCCTGCTGTACTGACCATGATTGATTCAATGTTGAAAAGGTTTTATTGCAATTATCACATAAGGTTAACATTATCATTGGTCGATGACAATAAGGTCAAGGTCAGATAAACCCTGGCAGACATACAAAATTGTACATGTACACCTTAAAATCATTCCATACACCAAATATAGTAGACCCTTTGCTTAATGTCATCAAAGAAACAAACCAAAACTGTGAAAGCTTAACATTGACCAATGAACCATGAAACTGAGGTCAACGTCAGATGATACATGACAGACAGACATGTACACCTAACAATCACCAAATATAGTTGACCTATTGTGTATAATATCTTAAAAAACAGGCTTAACCAGGAAAACTAAATATTGGTGTTGGCCATGATGAGATATGACCAATGAACCATAAAAATGAGGTTAAGGTCAGATGAACCTGCCAGACAGGCATGTAAACCCTAGATTCACTCTATACACCAGATAATTAGTTGATCTATTGCTTATAGGATCTGAGAGGAGGACCAAACAACAGGAACTTAACATTGACCAATGAACCATGAAAATGAGGTCAATGACAAATGATGCCATTAAAACTATTATTTGGTATAGAATTTAAAACGTTCCCATCATAATGAACAGGGTGTACTATGTTCAAAGTTGATGTAACCACATAGTCATTATAAAATACCTTAACCAAAAAATTTACCTTGGTATGGACACACTAATGGACTTACTTTAGAACAGACAGACACACAAACCAGAAGACATAATGCCCACTACGACCATAGACAGGGCATAAAAACTGCTTGGTTAAGGATTTTTTTTGATATTTTGTTAAAAATTTGGAAATTTTTAAATAATTCAATATAGTTGGTATGTTGGTCAATATAAGAAGAACCAAACTTATTTTATTTTAAAGCTCTGTAAATTATATGTGTATCATTTCACTTCAAAAATCAAATTTTCAAATTAAATGCAAAGATGAAAAATTCCCTGACTATTTAAGCATTTTCCCTATAGGTAAGCATTTTTCTAATAGTTTTATAAGTTTGCTTTCACTGTGCATTTAAACATAAATACATAAAAATTATGGATTAAAAAAATCTTTATACAAACACAGCAGTAACTACATCAGTAACAAGAATGTGTCCATAGTACACGGATGCCCAACTCCCACTATCATTTTCTATGTTCAGTGGACCTTCAAATTGGGGTCAAAACTCTAATTTGGCATTAAAATATGAAAGATCATATCATAGGGAACATGTGCACTAAGTTTAAAGTTGATTGGACTTCAACTTCATCAAAAACTACCTTGACCAAAAACTTTAACCTGAAATTTTCTATGTTCAGTGGACCGTGAAATTGGGGACAAAACTCTAATTTGGCATTAAAATTAGAAAGATCATATCATAGGGAACATGTATACTAAGTTTCAAGTTGATTGGAGTTCAACTTTCATCAAAAACTTTAACTTGAAGCGGGACAGATGGACGGACGGACGGGTCAAAAACATTATTCCCTCCGCAACTCGTTGCATGGGGTATAATAAAACAACACCTACCTCAAAACTCCATTTAATTGCAATATTATCCAAATTTGGAGGGTTCATACAACGGAAAAACCTTCAGCTTTGGGGTTTACCTTCGTATGACGACATGTTATGAAATGACTTCAATGCGCCAAAAATCATTAATGGAATTTCATGGAATTTTATTTTATTTTAATTCTGTACATTTTTCTGAGCTCTTATGCATTAATTCTTTTTGTTATGCATCAGAATAAGAATAAAGGTTCTGTAGTTTTTTTTCAATTGCAATTTTTAACACAGCAAAATCAGGATAGCGTTTGCACATAGGTTATGATACACATGGATTTACATGAGAGGTATATTGTAACAGCAATTATTATGTACATCTCTGAGTCATCGCTAAGTATAGATATCTTGAGAATTTTATCATGGTGTTGTTTACAAAGAGAAAGAAGCACGTCATATAAGAATTTTTATTAATTTTCATTCCCATATTTAGATTCCATCAATGCTAAGATTAGACTAGTAGCAAGACCTTGCATCTTATTCTTTTTTTTTTATATAAAAGGTGCATGTTACAACTATTACTAAAAATAACTTTTAAAAAAACAATTAATTGGTTTCCTTGCATACATGAAGAATCCAATTACCAATTCCAAGTTTCACAAATAGATTTTTTTCTTTCTTGGATCTATGAAATATTCTTAAGAAAACATAATGAGGTTTGAAATTTATAGTTCTAACAATTAATCTTTAAAACTTAAATAAATCAAAGATGTGATCTTACTGGTTATCTCTTTCTTTGCTTTCATATTGATAGCTGTCATCTTCTGAAAAGCAATAAACTGTTAACACAGAGATATGTCTCGCCTTTTTGTAATTTCGATAATGCAAATGTTGAAATTAAAATAGCAACACTTTAACATGTAAGTTTTGTAAATATTAGAAGTCAATGAACCATGACTGAAGGTACATGGCTAAACAATCTCCATGAAATGAGATGTGCAAATGCTAATACAACTGCATACCAAATACCATTGACTTATCATAAGTAGTTCCCTTTAAACAAATTAACCTAAACACAAACTAATACATGTAAACTAAATAAAATTTCAAAGTCAATAGACCATAACTGAGGGGGCGGGGTCAAATAATCTCCATGGTAATGAGATATGCTAATACAAATGCATACCAAATATCATTGACCTACCACTAGTGGTTCCCCATAAACTGACCTAATCACAAACTATTACATGAAAACTAAGCAAAAGTTTCAAGGTCAATAAACCATAACTGAGGGGGCAGGGCAAAATAATCTCCATGGTAATGAGATGTGCCAATGCTTATACAACTGCATACCAATCATCATTAACTTACCACTAGTGGTTCCCCATAAACTGACCTAATCACAAACTAATACATTTAAACTACCGTCAGCAAAATTTCAAGGTCAATAGACCATAACTGAGGGGGCGGGGCAAAATAATCTCCATGGTAATGAGATGTGCCAATGCTTATACCACTGCATACCAAATATCATTGACCTACCACTAGTGGTTCAACATAAACTAGACCTAATCACAAACTAATCAATTATTGACGCCGCCGCCGCAAACAGCATACCTATGTCTCGCTTTTTGACTTCGTCAAGGCGAGACAATAAATAATACTTTTTTAATTTTGCATTTTTTAACAAAAACCTGTTCAAACAATAATTTTGTAGGACTTGCAAAGGTCATTACAATGCAACAATCTTTTTATTAAAACTTATGAAATGTCATTGAAATTAACCATTTTTTTGTGAATATGGACTATCTTTAAAAAATAAAGAAAAAACATGATTTTTAATAAGAAAACTTTTGTCCAAAGATCATAATCTTTTTAAAAAAGGTGGAATATAGTGCACATATACCTGCAACTACTTCTGGAAGTAAATATATATAGGTTTATTTCGGGGCCAAATTTCTCTGCCATCATGTTTGAAATGGGTCATACTTAAACAAAACTTCCAAAAATTGACATAATATAATGAAAATTATTTTTTACCAAAGGATCATCCAAATAAAAACAGTATTTGTCAGAGTAGCAACTTTTTTGCTTCGTATCCAATTTCAAAATACATGCATGTATCATATTGATTTAGAGGTTTTAGCATCTTTTACAGAATCATATTGATCAGATACTGATAATGGAGGCAATCTCATGCTTCATTGGTTATTTTAAAACATTTTGATGTTAAGATTAGAAATGAATTCAATATTTTTTCAATTATGTCTCCTTACCTTCATTATCTACTAAGGTGGGTTCTTCTATGATTCTTATTAATGACCTCCCTCTGTAATGAACCTATCAAAAAAACATACAAATTGAAATCTTGTGTAACAGGAACCTGTTTTGGGAATGTCAACTACTGTGGATTCATTTATTTTCGTGGGTATCAATTTTCGCGGATAGAGAAAAAAGACAGTTTGTGGGATATCTAAATTCCTGGATCTCTGTTTGAATAATGATAAACAAAAGATAGAAATTCACTGAAAAGGTTTTGAATTGTCAAATCCTGGCTTGGTCATTCTAGGTTGAAGTGTTCATTTGATTGCAAGCATGAACAAGGGCAAATAGTTATTTGTTTGCTTTACAATTGATAATTTCTTTTCGGAATTTTATAAGGTATTCAAAGCCATTTAATATACAACTTATTTTCCCTAAACACGATATAATAAGCAGCCATTAAAAAATGACTCCTGGATTCATCCTTTAAAATTTTATTATGAAAAAAATGTTGTTTTGTCCTGAATTAAGTATACAAAAAAGTTTCAACGGTAATTTATCCAAATTTTATTTGAAAAGCAATTGGTGTCATACTTATGCTACCTCATTGAAAGTTTGTCAATAATTTGAATAAGGCAAAGGTGTGAAATTTCATGTTATTGTCATAACCAATATTACCTACTGGCAATGATTGATTCTTAATCCTATTGATTTTTAATCACCAATAAACCAAATTATGACACGGAACATGTTATTGACAACTTGTAATTTAAAAAAAGTAAATTCTCACTGATATATATATATATTCTAAGAATTATTTATTTGATCAAAATACTATTATGTTTAATTTCAAAAACATGTTTTAGGTAACCATGTTTATTGCAAGTCAGCACTATACAAGAATTGCACAACATAACCGGAAATAAACATCCGACTCAATACACATTTCTCGGTATTATTCTTCATTGAAGTCTTAAATTCGTGACCCATGAAAATTGGTATACCACATATAAAAATGAAAACACAGTACTACACATATAAAACATATAGATTCTACCACTGCACTGAGTGTGATACGATATTTCTCCACTTCGGACAGCTAAATTTTCATATTTGAAACTTGAGGCTTGCTGTGGTGGAATCTGTTTCACTAACGATTAATGGGCAATATGTAGACTAACTTTATCTTTCATTTTCGACTATCTACAAAAAGAAGTTTTCTTTATATTTGATGTCATCAAGCATGGTCACTTTTTCAGTGGCGTCACAAAAGGAAATTCATAGGAAAGATTTTTGAAAAAATTTAATTGAATTTTGACCAATGAAGAGCTGTCAGATAAAATAAACAACAGGTTGATTTTAAAAAAGTAATCAACAGATTGAGAGAAGTATAAATCAGGTAAGAATTGGAGAAATATAGATTCCACCACAACAAGTGTGTTAGAATATTTCTCCACTCGAGACAGATAAATTTTAATATTTAAAACGTGAGGCTTGCTGAGCTTTTCAAATAATTAAAATTTAACTGTTGATAGTGGAGAAATATCGTAAAACACGAGTTATAGTGATGGAATCTGTTATTTATGATTTTTATCCTTCCTTTTCAAAGATTTGCAGAAAGTTGTGTTCTTTATATGTGACGTCATCAGGCATGATCACCTTTTTTCATGACGTCACAATAGGAAATTCAGAAGAAATAAAGAAAATTTGAAGTCATAATTAAATTTCGACCAATCATTTGCAGAGAACAGTTATTTCACTAGTGAGGAGAACAATGTTTTCACAATCGGTTGGGCAATGTGAAAATAGTGAAAAAATTAGAGAAATAGATTTAGCCCTTGACAAGGTGCATCAACATGATCAACATGTCCAACGATTGTAGACAATAAGTTTTTTTTTTTTATTTTGGTCTGATTGAGTTGATGGATTAATGCTATTCACTTTGACATTTACCCCGCATCTCCTTTCATTCATAAATCAAATGTATAGATAGTAAGAAGAATTCATTAAATTTCAGGCAAATGTGTGCCTTGATTTTAGCAGCTATTGGTCTATAATATCAATACATGTATAATGTTTGCATGTTCACTTGTTTTTGTTAATATGCCGTTTGATTGAGTTAAGCCATTTCAATTGATATTTTATAGCGTGTCTTTCTATGTTGTGATGTTACACTATTGTTTCAGGTAGGGTGAAGGTTGGCACGTATTAAAACGTTTAAACCCGCTGCGTTTGTTTGCACCTGTCCTAAGTCAGGAACCTGATGTTCAGTGGTTGTCGTTTGTTGATGTGGTTCATAAGTGTTTCTCATTTCTCGTTCATTATATAGATTAGAACGTTGGTTTTTCCTGTTTAAATGGTTTTACACTAGTCATTTTGGGGCCCTTTATAGCTTGCTGTTCTGTGTGATCCAAGGCTCAGTGTTGAAGGCCATTCTTTGACCTATAATGGTTTACTTTTACAAATTGTGACTTGGATGGAGAGTTGTCTCATTGGCACTCATACCACATCTTCCTATATCTATTAAGCAATATTCTTGGATTTTTCTAAAATTTCTCTCTTTTCCAGAATCAGAGAATTTACATGTACCAATGGTTTATAAATTGGTGATGCTAACCTTTCTGGAGAACCGGAGCTCAACCAATAATTTTACCTTATGTTGATTAAGATTAACTTATAAAAATAATTAAAAGGACATGTGGGGTATTGTGGATTCATTTTTTTGGGGTGTACCAATTTTCATGTATTGACAAAAAATTGTAAATTTCAGGGACATTTGACTTTGTGGTTTTGTCAAAGTCTTGTTTTGTACAGATATTTACACTTCGTTGAACATTTTAATTTGAGGTTCACTACCACCCATAAAATGATCACAAAAATTGGTATGCAACGAATAATAATGATCAATCAGCAGTATATGTCAGTGAGACAACAACTTAAAGACAAAAACAACCAAAATATTCCTAGAGGGGTGTATACAGTCTTTAAATATAGACAGGTGTTTGTACAATACATTTTAAGTCTTCTTAAGTCCAGTTAGCAATACAAACAAAGAACTACAATTATTTAAATCACAATTAATATCCACACAAATACAATCCAATAAATACATTTTCAGATTTTTCCAATAAAATATCAAAATGTCAATTGCTAGTCACAATATGAACTTTTTTGTGCTCCTTAGATGTGCTCACTTACCAAAAAGCTTCATAAGTTTGACACAAAACTGATTTTAAAATATTCTTTATGTAGAAAATCTAATAATTGCATCTATCATGTATGTCATGTAAGTGTTCTGTTTATGTTTAAGTGGAATGAAAACTTGAAATTACATATTTTGTGTCCATATTTATAGTAATTATACCCACAAAAAGAAACTTCAAATTCTGCAGTCTTTAAAAAAAAAATAATTAAAAAAAAAAAATTTGATCGGTTGAATACCTGTTTGTAAGCTTGACTTTTCTTTACATCAGGAACTGGTTTACCAAGAATAGCTGCCAACCATTTGACTGGTGTCTGGAACAATTCTCCACCTAAACTCTCTATGTTCCCATCTTCAGTAAGTGAGGATCTAAATTCTCTATCCTGAAACATCAAATCCTAAGAAACTAAAGAAACAGTCTCTCCAAATAGCCTACATTGCCCAATCTTTCATCAGTAGGACATGATTATATGGCCTTTCTAAAATTTGAACAAAGCAATTTACTAAATTTTCTCAATATACCCAGAGCTGATTTTGTTGAAAACAATAATTATATGGTTTTTGCAACTTAATGCTTGCTATTACTCCAAATTGTGCCAACCACTTCATTTAGCCTACAATTTTCCTTAGAGGCATTAAAACAGTCAGGGGTACTACTGTACAAGTTATTTTTATTTACTTGAAGAACTAAATATTAATATACTTTTATAAGAAAATTTGTAAGATACTTATACAAGTGTATTTTATTTACTTGTATAGGTGAATTAATCTAATGGCTTAGTTATGCCCTTAGACATTCAGATTTTTTTTCTTATACAAGTAAAAAAGTCATACTATCTTCTTTTCTTGAGTTTATCAGGACTTCTATGCTCTAATAGAATTTTTAATTGTCTGTCCTTTGAAGATGTCTTTACTTATCATTTAATTGTAATTTCATGGACAATGAAAATCTCATTTGTCTGTTATCTTCAAAACACTGCTCATTTACAAGCCTTTAAAGGGAAACTTCGCAAAAAAATAAAAAATTGATATTATGTCCATTCTGTATAAAAAAGCACAAATTCATAAATATTAAAGTTTTATTTTGCTAGATAAGAGATCACCATCGATTTTAAATTTAGAGTATCAATTCTCTGCGTGCGGCCATTTTGACATCTTCTCGGTTTAGAAACCCCGATATATCTATAAACCACAAAGGACCAAAACCAGCAGTAACCTAACGTAGTCGCATTTATCCGACTAACTAACTTGATACGGAAAATGTAATTATTTTTTTAAATAACTATGGTCTGTCGTTTTAAAACTGTTTTTTCTTTACGAAGTTTTTGAAAGAAGAAATTTATATGGGAATTAGTCAAAAAGTCAAAGTTCAAAGTCATAAATATAAGTGTTCCGTGTAAAATCGTTTTCGAAAATCTAATTTGTTCATAATTCTTTTATGTAATAAACTTATTTAAATAAATTCGGACCTTCTCTTATCTGATCACCAGCATGGCTAAAGGAATTATTCCCTGAGGTATTGTGAGGTGACACGTCCAGGTATTCAAGCAATTTCCTGTCGGGTTTAAAAACTCTTATTACACAATTACATAAAGCATGTTCATGCTTCGCTTCACTTCTGATGGTATTGATTAGTGTACACGGCCGATAACTTGTAACTTTCCATTTTAAAACTATCAGGTGTAATATACATCTTTGTCTTGCGTGTCCGATAGTGATATACTAGTCATTACTAAACTCATATGCTTGTTTATGAATAACATTTCTAGTGTAAAGAATGATATTTATGAAAATCTAAATAATTCCAAAAAAAGATTTGATAAAATAAAAATCTATTTACATATTTTTCTAAGGGTAAATTGGGGAAAATGTAAGTATATACTCATTGTCAATAATGATGGACATTTTGAAACATGAAAAACTATTGATTTAAAAAATACGCACTTGTCGATCATTGGTTTATACGCCTACATAGAAAGTTACGGAACTATAAATAGTCGCAATTTAAAATTGTATATTGAATATAAGAAAGAACATCTACAACCAATTTGATTTAAATACAGGTCGATATCTAACTTGCTTTGGTTCATCGAAGTTATGGACATAGTAAAACACAGATTTATATTTCAATTAGATTGTTCTCGAACAGTTGAAGAAATTCGTCATCATCACAATTGTTGGGTATAATGTATATTAATGTGAACATGGTTCTTATAGAACCTTATGCCAATTTTCCTGTTCCTACATGCATGTAATATATATGCCACTGGACGTACACTTATGATCCCCAAAAGTTTATTTGAAGAAATAAAGAAACTTCACTCCGGATAGACTGATAGTAGTTGTATTAACGTCTGATCAGCTTGAGGGTTGATTAATTTATTACGTTAGCTTGTGGGGGAATAAACCATTCCCACTATTCCACTTATGCATAAAATATTGAATAAGAGTAATATAAGAGAAAATATAAATACAAAAAGTCGCATATCTGGTAAAAAAAAAGTCTCACCAACTATAGGATTTCACGTACAATTGTAATTATGATCGAAATAACGGACAGTCATTAAAATACATGCATGTACGCTTTGATAAAAAGGGGTGCCGCAGTTGCATATTATTCATCATAAATCTATTTCAAGTTTATACTTTCCTGTTATTCTTATCAGTTAACGCAGAGACATGTAACTATACATCTCTAGTTAACGACAATCAACTATATAAATATCTGAATCTGATGTGACTTACCGTTCATCTCTAGTGGTTCATCTCTTTCTTTTTTTGTTCTTCTTTTTTTTTTTATTTGGGCAGGAACATAAACATTGTTAGATATAATGTTCCCAGGTTTGAGGGAAGGGGGGGGGGGGGGTGTTGGAGGTCAAGTCTATCGAAAGTTACAAAATAAGAACGTTGTATTTATGAATTTACAAGAATTCTGTTCTTGGACGTTGTTTTCTCCTTTCTTTTTTTTTTAAGTTCAGTGATTTAAATTGAGAAAAAATCTAGTCAGAATTTAAATCGTTTCGACAATCCCCCACCTAATACTCCTCTAAAATCATGAATGGTCATGCTTCACAATCATCAGAATTTACTTTGCATTGGTACATTCTGTATCGGTAGTGATTAACCTTGACATTTCCGGGTATAACAGAGCTACTTGTATATTACTTGTATGTGGTTAGGTATATCGTCCCATGAGGTCTTACGTATACAGGTTCACATTTATAATGGTTTCTGATATAACAAGGTTTTATGACATTCACACTTCTGCATGTTCTGTATACCAGTTTCTTATCTTATTTTCAGACCGAATGAGGATGTGAAATTTTGAGTATCAAAGTATCAAATTAATTTCGGGATTTTTTTCTTTCTTGGTATTAAATCACAGAAATTTAAAGATAATACTGCTTATAGATATAAGAAGATGTGGTATGAGTGCAAATGAGACAACTCTCCATCCAAGTCACAATTTATAAAAGTAAACCATTATAGGTCAAAGTACGGTCTTCAACACGGAGCCTTGGCTCACACCGAACAGCAATTAAGCTATAAAGGGCCCCAACAAATTACTAGTGTAAAACCAGGAGTATTCTTGTCAGTTAAGACAGACATATAATCATATGTATATATATGTCTGCGGTATAGACATGGTTTATGAATGAATGATAAGTCTTACAAAGGTACAAGATATAAAGCACATTGAACATTGATTCCGCCGGTCTGTCTCCATTCAATAAAGGCAAGTTGACGTTACATCGAATCTGTAAAAAATTTTTAAACATCGTTGGTCAAATAGCTAAAGTATTTGTTGTGAGATGTAGAATATTTCAATAAGGACATTCCCGATTAGGTAAATGTAGATCGCTTTGGTCGGACCAAACTATATTAATGTAACTGATAATTTTCTCTGCACATTTAAATATTCAAGGTTACCGATGATAATTCAAAATAGCACAGTTTTTGGTTTATACGCTCGTTTTCGTGGGCCATTTTTATTTATAAAATTATTTCATTGAAAGTTATTCAGAATTCCGATGTTACAACAAAGTACTCGCCCATCTATTTAAAAACTGAGCTAACGCAAAATATAAAAAATATATATAACGGCGATTCGGGTATTTTGCCACCATATTCCTCCCCAAATAATTATTTTTTTCTGTCTCAAACCCACATTTCTCTTTTATCATTTTTTTTTATGTTTTTCAAACCAGAAAATAATTTTTGTTCTTGATTATTCGATCTCATTCCAATAAGACAAAGTTGACCTTAAATTTCCTGTCAACTTTTTAATTATCTTTCTTCAAATGGCTGAAGTATTTATACGTTGTGAGATTTAAAATATTTTGATAAGGACATTAATTCCTGAATATATAAATAAAGATCGCTTTGGACGGACCAAATTATATAATTGCAATTGGTAATTATCTATTTCAAATATTCAAGGTTACCGATTCTAATTTAAAATAGTACAATTTTTAGTTCATACACTCGTGTTTAGAATGCCATTATTATTTATTCAATTAAAATAATTCAGTATTTCATTGTTACAAAAATATTCAGCAGTCATAATTCATTTTAAACTGAGCTTACGGAAAATATAAAAATATACCACGGCTATCCAGTTATTGTGCCACCATATTACTCCCTCAAAATAATTATATTTCTTTTTTTGTTTTCTGTCTCAAACTATCACTCCCGTTTATCATTCATACGAAATGATGTTCACACCTGGAACGGTGAACCGTGACGGCTAAAATTCACTGAGTGAAGATCAAAAGATTAGAATTACAGAATGCAAACCTTTAAATACCTTGAATTCAACCACGCATTCAACAGGTAGTCACTATGTGTCACAGTACAATACACATTGTATTTACACGGTACTAGCGGAAAATGTTTGCTAGACTTAAGTAAAAGGTGAGAATACAAACATGCATTTTTAATACACTATCAGTTAAATATGTTTGTTGAAAATATCCGTCGGAAAAAAAATTCATAAAAATATTCTATTGTATGATTTACTTTTATTACTATAATGACTATAATCATATCAGAAATCCTTAAAATATAAATCGTACATTTTATTTTTAAAAGTTGCACGGCTGATCACTTTACTTTCTAAATTATTAGTTGGTTAATAGCTACGCCAAAAGTCGTCGATGCGCTTTAAATCGCGTTATTAAATGAATAACGAACAAGACTTAAATGAGATTAATTCCACTCCCGGCATGCAAAAAGACTTAAACTACGTCACAGAAGTCAGGAAGTTCAAATAAATAAAATTAATAATTCCCAATGTTCTTCTTTATTAGTTTTCATATCCAGATAAAACTTGGTGAATATGTTTTTTATGGTATTATGAACATAATAAGATGATAAGTAAAAAATCGCGAATTTTCCCTTTAAGGGGCAATTTTTGAAGGCCATGCGCAATTACTTAAGATCTTTGCGCAATTAGTTTCTTTGTTGAATTAATGCGATGAAATGTTGAACTCTAATAAAAAATTATGAGCTAACCAGAGAAAAATTGTTTAAGGCATGTTTTTACATCCTAAAACTTGAGAATTTTAGGGATTGTAAAAAAAAAATGTTTTTTTTTTTTTAAATTAAGGGGAGATTATTCAAACCTTATTAGAAAATATGAATATAACAAATTTACTTATATAAGTATATTATTATTTACTTCTTCAAATAAATAAAAATAACTTTACCCCTGACTGTGATAAATACATGTATGTGAAAATTAAAAAGAGATACTGTTGGGAGTTCCTGCAAAATGTTGCATAACTATTATTTGCTTTAACTCACTAATCACATTATATAACTCATTCTTGTTTTCTTGTTACTCCATACTCAACTTTGTTATTTCGAAACATTTTAAAGCCAGCTGTGCAACATGGGTTTTGCTCATTTTTGAAGGCTCTCCAGTGACCTATGGTTGCTTACTTATCTAATTTGTTTGGACTCTGGTTGATAGTTGTCTCATTGGCAATCATACCACATCTCCTATTTTTATAGTGATGATTTATACTAGCACTATTTCTCAACTTGCCAAAGTTGCATTATTCATAGTTACTCAAAAATTAGTTGTTTAAAACAGTACTATAAATTCAGAAGTTTTGTGATGTTTTTATTATTGCAAAACATGTGATGGGATAATTTAAATTTCTAAAAAATAAAAAGCTTTTTAAAATTTGTGAATAGTATTATTTGTATGCTCCATTTTCTAAAATCACAATCATGAACATTGAACCTCACATTTTTCTTCTTTGTTTGAAACAAGTGAAACTGCAAGCTACTGCTCACTGATGATTCCCTCGCCCAAATAATTGACAGTAAACAGGAAGTTGTTGAGTGATGAATTGGAAAATGCATCACACGGTATAGCTGACTTATATAAACCCTGAAACCAAATTTCAGAAATCCTTATGATGTAGTTCCTGAGAAAAATGCAACGGACAGATGGATGGATGGACGGACGGACGGACGGACGGACGGACAGACAGAGGTAAAAGAGTATACCCCCACTTTTTTTAATCGGGGGTATAAAAAGTTGCTATAATATATATGCATACAAAAAATTTCTAAACTTGTCAGAGCATATCAATCCTACCTTTGCATTAGCTGTCAGAATATTCCTTCCAGGTTTAATAATTCCTTTGTTAATCAGTAAATGAAGTGGTGGGTACTTTAAACCATTAAACATATCCTGGGGACCTTGCTCCTGAAAAAAAAATTACAAAAAGTCAATTTTCATAAATTAAAGGATCCAACTTCATCATTACTTAAATATCATAAAAGTACAAGTTTCAAGTGCCATGCATTTTTACAATGCTGTTTCACTTAATTAAGAATAATATACATTATAGCTGGGTTTAATTTTTCCTACAGGTCCACTAATGAGTAGTCCATGATTTCAAGGGCACCCTTTTTTATAACTTATTTTGTAGATGTTAAGATTACAAGTGCTTCATTGCTAAATTACATCAATTGTTGGTCTGAAATGTTTAAGTCTTTTGATAATAAGGCACATGGGACCATCTAGAAGTAAAATCGTTCCTTTTGTGACTGAAAAGTTTTTTCCAAAACATTTGGAAGATCAGTGGCTTTTAAGAAGTTAAAATTGGTGAACAAATTAATAAAGTTGATAACAACATTTCCATTTACTATATGGTTGCATGATTCAAGAGAAACAACTCTATCTAAGAAATTTCTATCAATATATTGCCCAAGAGGCACTTAAAACAGTTAGTCATGATAAAAGGCTTTAAGAAGTTTGTATTGGTGAACAAGTTTATAAAATATATAACTAGATTTTTGCTTTACTATACTAGCTATACTGTTGATTCAAGAGAAACAACTCCATCTAAGAAATTTGGATCAATATATTGCCCATAAGGCACTTCTTTAAACAATTACATTCAAAACATTCTGGATATTTTATACTGAAGGTAACTCTCTTGCTATACAAAGTAGATATCCCTATTAAGTATATCACACAATTAACACAGATGTTTGCATGGTTCAAGTTATCACTGTTGTTTGATTCAATATTATCATACAAGTCAAACATTCTGGGCTTTGCTCATTGTTGAAGGCCGTACCGTGACCTATAGTTGTTAATTTCTGTGTCATTTGGTCTCTTGTGGAGAGTTGTCTCATTGGCAATCATACCACATCTTCTTTTTTATATTGTTTTATATGAAGCACTTTTCCAGATTTACACATCTTTACAAATGATCAGAGTAAAAATTAAGAAATCCAATGATGTACTGTGGATTTTTATCATTTGTGGGATACTCATTTTCATGGATTTTATAGATAAAGGAGACAAAGTATTCAATGTTCAACAATATACAATTTTTCTATAGGCTTGTTTGCAGAAATTGTTAAAACCATGAAATAAAAATCCAACAAAAATTGAAAACACATTTGTTCCTCAATTTACAAAAACTGATACCCACAAAATCAAATTAATCCACAGTTGATAATTAAATTATACATAGGAAGTTATAAAATCAAAAAACAGAAAAAAAGAATTTACCAATTAGTAATGTTCCGGTCTTTAACTTTAAACAATTCTGGCCAATACTTTGGAAATTTAGACCTGTCATTACGATAGTATAATTCATACATTCAAAATTCCCCTAATTGATAGGAATGATATTGAAACCCTGAACCTCCTCACAATATATTTTCTATGAATTAAATTTGTTATTTTCAACTCACTTTCTTCACATTTCATGATGCAGCAAGATTTTACTTTAAAATTAATCCACACTATTCCTTTAAAAAAATGAATATGGGAGGGTAGGATTGAATTTTTTTTGGACATTGATGGTGGTAATACGTACGTCCATTTGATGCATACAAAATAACTCTAATTAATAGGACAAATATAGCAAATTTTTGAATACTCAACCTGTGTTGATGGTCTTGTGACAGGAAAATGTTCAGTAAAAGCTGACCTGAAAGTGGCAAATGAGGCTATGCTTGGAGATATATCATTACCGGTATGCCCTTCTCTTGGACTCAACTGTGGTGTCTGAAATGATGCAGAAGTTATAAGCTACATGAAAAATCAGAAGTTTGTTATCTTTTTCTTCTAATGAGAAGAATCTAATTCCAAATAACTCTCAACTGCAACAAAGAATGCTTCCATAAGAATCTTATATAATTAATAAAAGAAATCCATGGCAAAATATCATGTTTTATAATCAGTGATAATGGATATTAAACATTCTATAACAAAATCATTGTAATCATCACCAATTGTTTGACAGGGATACATCCACAATGCTACATAAAGAATGAATTTTTCTTTACACAGCATGAATATTTACTTTTAAATTCATAGTTTTAGACTGAAAAGATCAAAAGGTTTCATAGAGATTTCTTTTTAAATCGGGTAAATTTATCAGAAAAATTATGAAAGCAGATTTGTGCCTTAAATCTTTATTGCAGATTTTTTAAAAAAAGTTGTATTTCAAGACATTCCATCTAGAAACCAACATTCTGATGAAATTTCAACCTTTATACACCTGTTGTGTGTTATAAATGCTTCCTCCACAGCCTTGATATACAAAACCCCCATTCAGGCCCTGATTTTCAACCTAGGATACCTGTGACCCTGTCTTACCAGTACATGTACCAGACCTAGAGACAGCACTGCCCATGTTTAATACAAATATTCCTGTAAAACTAAAGAGAGATTTCATCTAGAAATAAAGATTTTAAGAATTTCATACATGAATATTTTTTTTTAACAACTTTAACCTCAACCTTTAACCAGCTGACTTTAAAATCAAAACAGTTCATTCCTTTCAAACTTTCAACCACTTTCTTAAGTTTTATTAAAATCCAGCAAGTCTACCTCAGTATAATCACAGAAACAACAAATTGTTCATAATATTTGTATATTTTCAGTCTATTTTTACGGAACTGTGACCTTGAAATTTGACCTAAATACCTTTCCATATACTTTCTATTTAAACAAGTTTCATTGTTAACCAACAAAGGAAACTTAAGTTATTACATGAAAACTAATTTATTCCAAATATTGTCTCTTCTTTAATAGTAAAAGCGACCTTCAATTTTGATCCATTGACACCTAAATAAATAGGCTTACTCCCATTTCCTTCATCTTCCATCTGAGTTTAAGTTTTGTTCTAGTTACACAACTTGGTTAACTGAAGATTTCATCAACAAAGCTTCTGTTTTAAAAAAAATATATTTTCAGTAAGAGATACTTTGAACTTTGAACCTTCCAGAAAAAAATTCTGGGGCACATAAAAAATTGGTGTTGATGATCAATCTACAGTAGCCTCAATGTGGTCCTTTAAATTCATACACATCTTTTTTAAATATTTGACAATTAAAAACTTCGCATATTATAGTATGGATACTTGTCTATCTTTAAAAACCATGATTAGCTATAGATGGTTTTTTTTTCATTTTTAACTGTTAGCATGTTGAAGGTCTCATTAACTTTATTCCTATATTCAATTTTAACTTTTTACATAATTGTATTGGCCAAATTACCTTGTTCTGTTCTGCTCTGTAAAGTCTTTCATGTTCTAACTGTGTGCTATCTACATCAATATATGAAGGTTTGGTCCCTGATGGCTTCTCGCTGATGATCTTCATAGCCTTGTCAATAACTTTTCTCATCATTTCATTATGTGTCTTCCCATCTTCTCTCATTTTGTTGTAACTTTTCTTTTTAATTTCATTAATATATATTTTTTCAGAAGTAAGTCCTCCATGGAAGTTTTGGTAATCTGTATTTTTATGATTTGCATTAGGTGTAGTTGCTCTGATTTTTTTCCCTCCAGCAGTGGTAAATTTCTTTCCCACACAAGCCATTTCACGTTTCCTATTAATTTTATTGAATATTTCATTTCCTTGACTATATGTGAGTTTTGGTGCTTTAACCCATCCTGTGTTTGTCTTTTTAACCACCTCAGCATGACTAGCTCCTCCAGTGGTCCTTCGGTTATCTCTTTCTTTATCCCTCACCTTGTTGGTTATAATCCTTCCAGTGTTTATTCTACCATCAGTGTATGAGTCTCCAATATAAGGAGCTCCAACCTCTTTCATCTCTGTATTTGTTTGTTTGTCTGCTGTACTGCCCTGATTATTCCCTTCTGTATCTCTAACACCTTGACCTTGAACTCCTCCTGAGTCCTCTCTAACATCCCCTCTTGTATTTCTTACATATGTTTTGCTTACTTCCACATCCATGTCAATATCATTTTCAATTTCTATAACTCCTGGCTTTTTAACTGAGTTGAATGGCACAGATAAATAAGCTAAGGTATTTTTCTGTGTAATATCTGGTCTCACCAATAGTGACAAGCTTTCATTAGAATCTGTGTTTTGTGATAAAACAATTGGAGAAGATGGTGGCACTACAGTAACTTTTTCTGCCGGTTTACTTTTGTAGTTTTCATAATCAAAACTTGATTTGTCTACATTCTGTAAGACTGACATGTGCTGAACAGGTTGATTTAATAAATCTTGCTTGACTAGACAGCCTTTATCAAAATTCCCTTCATCTGAAAACTTCTTCTGTCTTATTTGTAAATCTGATTCACAGCATAGCTCATCATGTATTTCTAGCTGCTGAGTTTCTCTGACAGTTTTTATATCTTTGGACCCTGCTTGCTTCATATAGTACATGGAGCCCTTATGCAAGGGTATGCTTGTTACATTGAGTCCTGTTCTCTTCAAACTACTTTCAATTCCATCTCTCTCTTCATTTCTTGCATCCATATCCAAATCTTCACTACATGTTGGCTGTGTCACATTTCCATAAGTCCCATTGTCTTCCATTTCAGAATACAGTTCTCTTGTCCCATTGAAGCTTATGGTATAATTAGGATCCTCTGTTAAAGGTTCAATATTTATAGAGCCTCTGTCATTCCACGATTTCTGAGCTGAATGATTGAAATTCTGTTCCTCTACGAATTTCTTGTTTCCTGTTCTGTTGGAAGTGGCAGCAACCTTCATACTTGTTACATTTTCAATAGATTTTGTAATATTAGTGTTCAACCCACCAACCATCTTTACTTTTTCCCTGCATTGTTCATCTGCAGTATTTGGCACAACAGGAAAGCTCTCCTTCAAATTTGTATCCTTTTTCATCAATCTGGTTATTTCTTTATGTTTCTGAAAAAGTTTAAATAGTGATTCCTGTCTAACACTCAGTTCTTGTAAGCTATGCTTTAATGCAATTTTTTCACTTTTTAATTTTCCACTTCTTTTAATGTCAATTGTTATTTTGTTTCTTTCAACTTTATGTCTTTCTGCTATCCTTATAAGCATACTTTTGATTGCATGAAGTTTCTGCTGTATTACATCAGTATCTGAAAGAGACAAAACTTTATATCAGGGTCGAATCCAAGGGGACTCAAAGCATGCATGGATATTAATAAAAGTAGGAGTAGGGTCATTTAGACAATGACAAACAACACTATGAAACCAAAATGGAAATCTAAGATCAATTTACAGTCTTCGGTGATATACATACATGTATATAAGTGAGGTAAAACTCTCAATATTCATTCAACATTTTGGGGTAGTTTCACCAGGTATACTGTGTCTCCATTAGTATTCATGGGATAGCAATTCTCATGGATTTTCGTAGGAATAGGTGTTACTCACCGTGAACCACTAATTTGAATACTCAATGAAGAATAAATTTTCGATAGCCTTGCTTACAGAATTTATCAAAACCATGAAATCTGATGTCCACAAAAATACAATCCCCCCTTCCAAAAAATCAATAAGCATGAAAATAAAGGAAGGCACATGTACAGCATGTAAATCCAAGGTAAATGTAAATGTGAAATCTTATAAGATTTAATAGAACATATGGGACATCTTTGCCACTATGTATGCCACATGTCTGAGCATGAATAATAAACACAAATAGAAATGAGGAATTATTTCAGAGATCTTTCAAAGAAAGTATATAAAGACTTACCATGGAAAGAAAAGAAAAGAAAATAATTGAAAAGTGGTGACAAAAACTAAAACTGTAAATTCAGAAATTATTGCAATGTTTTTATTATTGCAAAAATCGTAACGGGAAATGTTTCGCCCAAAAAAAAAAAGTAACTTTTTGAATTTTAATAGCATTATTTTATGCAGGATTTTCTGAAATCCCAATAATTTATCTCACATTTATTTAAATTTTTCAACAATTGCAATTATAGTTGCAGGCAATAATTTCTGAGTTTACAGTATTTTATTCTGGTACCTTGTGCAGATGTTCTTGCTGATACACAGGATAGTTTCTTTTGAATTTTATTCTGCATTTTTTCAACTTTACACAAAATGTCTTCTTCTTTTTTCTTGTACTGAAAAAGAGATGGACATGTACATGATGTATGTTTTACCATTTACCAAAAAATGAAACCCCCAACCCTCCCATTAACAGAAACTTCTTTTGTTTTGAAATTTAAAGAAGATGACACTAATTCATTTTAAACAGTAGATTTCCAGTTATTTCCCGAAGTATGTAATTGGTTTTCATTCATATTACCAGACCAAGTGAGCTAAAAGGTACAATCTTAATCCATGGTATCCGAAAGTTACATGTTGTCCAGACACACGAATACCGGGTAAGCTAAAAAGGTGCACTCTAAATCTGTTGTATCCTAAAGTCACATGTAGCCCAGACACACTAATTGAACTGCTAAATGTTAATTTTACAGATACTTACATTGTTATCATTACTGTCATTGATGTCTCCTAGTGATGATATACTCGATGTCGACTGAGAGGGAACTTTATTTTCTAATAAATAAAATAAAATTTTATATTACATCTAATATATAATAAAACTAAAGATTGTGAGAAAAAAGCAACATGTGCTCCAAAAATTCCAAAAAATATGACATTGCTCTAATCATGGAAGTAATATTGAAAGGAATAACAACGTCGTCACTTTAAAGGTTTCATCTGCGTGACCGCCCATCTTTCGATAACTCGTTAATTGATTTAATATCTGGCATGGTAGTTGATTCTCCGCATGTGATCGATCAAATCACTGACACTTTTCGGTCATTTTCGTGTTCACGGAAAACTATGAACAGACAAGTTTTTGTCGTATATACGTGCGAAGTAACCCGAATAGTCCATTCGTTACATTCCATTGATGTACGCTGCCGAATAGAGTCATTCGTTCAATTTTTATTTTAGTCCAATTTTCCTATTTCTGGTTAGTTCGATTTTAATAGTACCGACAGCTATCACATATGAAATTGTAGAACAAGGCTGGGTCATTTTCAATTTTAATATTTACAGACAGTTAAAAGGCCATTTCCGTAAGTTAAGAAGATGATTGTACAAAAAATACGTTTGGACTCCCTTTTATTAAATACGAATAAGTGTAAGTCTTTCGTGTATTAGTCAATTAAAATATCACAATTCTAAACGGTTCTATCCTTTAATTTATAGTTCTTGATACATAAAATAATTCGTGTAAAAATGAATTTGCCGTAAGACAGATAGCGTCAAGCTCATTTTGTCGGTTTGTTTTAATTTTTGCTGTAGCTTGTTATATTAATACAAGTATTCCACAATAAACACTTCTTAAAAAAATATATGTTTACGAACATATCATCCCTATTTTGGCTGTCCAGTTTCAATAATGTAATCAATGACATTTATGACATATACATAAATTTAGAATATTTCTCGATAAACTTTGCACATTTCAACAGTAAAAAAATCTATGTCTAGATTTGTCTACATTATTTTGTTAAACATCATGTGAAACCTGATCAATTCATCAGTATTTAACTGTTTTACTCGGGATCAGCTTTTAACCGGAAAATACTTTTAGAACAGTTTAAAACAAAAGGTAAAAAGCAAAAATATGCGAAATTAAATACAATTTTCCATGTTAAACTGTTGTAGGTTGAACAATTCTCGTCCGTTTTTCAAGTTTTTTACATCATACGACTTCTTTCTGAAGGTAGAGGTTTTATATGATACAGCGCCACCGTCTTATTAATAAACCTCGGATTTCACACAAGTGCTTTATAATTACCGGACTCAATAAAATCACGTGACTGATAAGAAATTCCAGATGCCATTTTACAACCGCGGTATCACAGATAGTAACCAAGGGGGTCTTGCCGCTGAGACTATAATTGGATAAAATCATATGACTTTAGTACAGAGCTCTGCAGGCTGTTAATACATACTAATTAGTCGTTGTTATTCCTTTTAAATATTACTTCCATGCTCTAATTAACTTAATTCAGAAACAATAAATTCTGGAAAATTTCTATGCGTCAGGGGACATAACTCCAAATGATTAAAGCTGTAAAGTTGAAAATTAACCTTTAAATATCATGGATTTTATCAGGATGTTTTGAGAATGGTCCATTAAATACATTTTGGGGAAGATTTTACACCTTAGTCAGATTATTTGGGAATCATTTCGCTATGCTTCTGACTTCTTGGAGCCTTTAGTTAATTGATTCAATTTTCTTTTGTATATTTTATTCTGGCTGATGATTTCTTAATATGAATTGAAACCATTATTGTTTATAAGCATTATCGATAAAGCAGTCAAAATTTATAAAATAAGACATATTCAAACTTATTTCTAAGTATATATAATAAGTATGTTACCGAAATTTCTAGCAAGAAGCCTAATTCTAGGCACATCACGATCTACTCTCATAGGGATTTGCGAATAAACATTTGTAAAGATATGTAGTAAAACAGATAAAATTATACTATATTTATAAAACACAAATGGACAAATTGAATATGTATCATGTGTTCATTTATATATATATAATAGACAGTAGTCATTTTCTTTTCAAATATGTGAAATAGCCAATAATAATCCATAAATAGACGGGGAAAACCCGCTATTATTGCAAAAAATATCAACAATAATAAGAAAAACGGAAAAACTAAAGAATAGGGACAACAAAGAGAACCTTAACCAACAAGTTTCTACCTTTAACTAGACTTTATAACTCACTGATCTTAACCATGTTAACCTCGCTGCTACCAACTTATACCTACTTTTACACATATTGCCTACTAAGTATATATAAAGGGACAAGCCCTGTGTGTCTGTTGTACCGATGTGTATCATATGTTCATTTATATATATATTATAGACATTTAAATTGCAACCCATTGGTAGCCGACAGTTTTCGTCGATGTGTTGATGTCAGTCACACATAACAGATTTTAAGGAGGGGTTCGATTCCCAATGAAGGCATATGAAAATTACAAAAGTTAAAGGTAAGTTTTTAAATTAATTCCATTAGTGAACAGAAATCAGTAAATAAGCCAATTCAAACATAATGAAATTAGACACACAAAGGAAACAATTAAATATAATTTGGTGAGCTCAGTTTTAGGAAGCATTGCTTCTAGAAAAAGGAATCCACGGTAAATGAATAGGCTGACGTCACGACAATGGTTTAAATATTATAAGATTACAGACCAAAGACCAAATTATTCTTTCATATACAAGCTGAGTAATTTTTTATGAAAGTTACAGACAGACCACCTTCTCCTGCAGAAAAAGATACAATAGGAAATGGCAGAAAAAATAAAAAGACCTTAAGGGCTTATGCTACAGTAGCAAGGGAAGATAATAGTGCATCCAAATTTAACCAGATGTTTCCACAAAGTTGCTACTACTACTAGCATCTACTATTTTTGGAAAAATCTTTAACCTCATCAAATTGGTTGTATACATTTGAAAGCATTTTCAATGGAAAACAAACAGTTGGTTTAATTAAGCACCAGTAATCTACTGAGGCCCAGGGCACAAAATTTGATGCACATGAAGACTGCTTACTTTCTATCATCAATAAATTCAAAGAAGACAGTAATTCATATAGTGTTTGATGTCTGCAAAACGATGTTGCATTAAGAATACACTACAATGTAATTTAGAGCCAAAAAGAATGAACAACAATAAAAGACACAAACTTTATCCAAATACTCTAAGGTTCATTCAGGCCAACTTTGGTTGAAGTTGGTCTAATGATTTCAGGGAAGATCTATGAAAAATTAACACGGACAGCGGAGGGATGGACGGATGCAAAAGTTCACATGGCCTTTTTTTAGGCCAAATGAGCTAAAAATACGATGATTTCCTGCTATTTGAATTGATGAAAGTAACTTGGTAGATGAATCCAGGAATAAATATATGACATATTTGTAAGCCCCTACACAAAGGATCATTGAGCAAAGGTTTTGTTGAAATTAGTCCAGTGTTTTCAGAGCAAGGCAGACTCCTAGTGATTTCAAGAGCTCACTAGAACACAGGCCAAGATGAGCATATTTTCAAAAGGAACCATTTCGAATGAAAGCAATAAACTGCCTATATATATTTTATCACAATAAACTAGACTTAATTCCTGAAAGATACCTTGAAAATGGTTAACTTCACACTGTTTCAAACCTGGCAAACATGTTTCCTGTGACTCAGTTATTATCCCAATACTGCTAGTGACTCTATCTGGACTATGTGCTCCAACCGTACTGTGTGATATAAGGCTGACACTACCTCCACCATGGGACTTCTGTGAAATAAGTTTGATTTTCTTTCCATCAGAATGTGGGATATTATCATCTAGAGGATCATTCGTATCAGCTATTTCTCTTATACAGCCATCGTCTGACAAACTTGATTCAGTAACTTTGTTTTCTTTCAAGTTTTTTCTTCTATCAACTAGAATCTCTTTCCATTCATCTACTTTTTCACTAAATGGTATTACAGAAAAATTCAATGCCTTGCTTCTGTTGTTTGTTGTTAGCAATGACTGAGAGACTGAGCTTGCATCAGAAGCATCATCTTCCTCCTGTAAGAGAATGTATTGCTGTTGCTTAAATTTCTGATGTTATGATAGTGGATTAAAATATTAATTAAAATAACATATCTTTTTATATTTGGAGTAATGAATAGGTAAACTCTTTGTGCAAGCTGCTGATTACTTCATTATTACTTTAAAGATCAAACAGTGTTTGTCTAGTACAAAGCAGGGTTAAACATGCATACAACATTAACATGTCCTTGTCCCAATATCCATTAAGTACTTGACACTGGACATTAAACACCAACCCATCAATGAGAAGCATTAACCAGTGTTTCAATGAAAAAAGACAATGTTTGATTAATATCTTTATTAAAACATGCCCTTTTCATGTTATCATTTCACACATTTAATGCCGTTTTCAGGATTGGCACCCTGCCCTTTTGAAACCCTAACTGGAACACTAATTATGGTTTGGATATCTAAGAGTACTCAATCTTACCACACTCTTCTGACTGTTACATTTGATATTCCTCAACACAGTAGTTGCTATAGGTATGATTGGAGAACATATTTCTGCTGAAATACATATAAACATTTTTCAATAAAAGCATTTCTGCATACAAAAAAAAATTGAATTAAAGAAAATAAATCAAGTCAATTTTGAGAAAGTCCTTTTCAGAAAAAAAAAAAAAAAAAAACCTGTACACAGCTGTTTTATATAAAGTCACAAATCAAATTGTTACTTAATGTCACTATGGGCATGATGAGTCAATCAATGTAAAATTGAGACCCATCAAAGAAAGGCCAGGATTTAAATTCATTTATTTTAACAATGGAATTTTATATCACCGCTTTGTGACACCAGATAGATTGACCTGACCTTAATTAATAAAAATTGATCCAACCCGGACTTATCACTGATATCCTTTTGTTCCTACTGGCCTACTGAGGTTAATTTGATAAGTTTGATCGAATCTTATCAACTCCTCTTCTTGTTTGCTGGTGGAACAAAGAAAATATAAAAGAACAGAGTTCCAATACACAATATCACACACCTATACCCCCCCCCCTCCAAAAAAAAAAAAATTTGACCCCCAAAAAATTACCCTCATTTCAAGTAAAAGAGCCCTAAATTTTCATAAAAAAAAAAGCAAAAAAAAACGCAAAAACACCAAAATTTTCTTACTCCCAAAAAAATTTTTTTTTTACTTTGGAAAAAAACGTTATTAAAAACACCCAAAAAACAACAAAAAAATTCCAAAAAAAAAATAAATAAAAAAACCGGGAGAACAGGCGAAGAAAGAATTCTGTGGGATTTAAGAGAAAAAAAAAATTAAGTGTTTTTCCTTAAAAAATGGAAACAAACGAGCGGAGCGAGATACACTCCGAATTACCAAAATATCCACATTGTGTTATTATATGTGGACAAACAGGATGTGGAAAAACAGAGTTTGTTCTTGATTTATTAGAAGGAGAATATAGTGGAGTTTTCAAATATATAGTCATACTTTGTCCAACAATTCAATGGAACAAAGCATACAAAAATCGTGAATGGATTGGTGATGTTAGAAAACCAAAAACAAAAAATCTAATAATTGTTAATCCTATTGTCAAAGAAGAAGAGAAGCTACAAGAACTACTAAGAATGTTCTTTAAAAAATATGCTGGTCATCCAACATTATATATCATTGATGACTGCAGTGCAACAAAAGAACTAACAAAGAAAAAAGATATGCTGTCCGAGCTTGCATTTTCAGGAAGACATGCGGAACAATCAGTGTGGGTCATTTCACAGAGATACAACTCTGTTTTAAAAGATTTAAGAGAACAAACAAAATGGTTATGCATGTTCTACACAAAAGATAGAGATAGTCTTGATAATTGCCTAAGAGAAAATGATGTTATTCCTACTTTGGAAGAAAGACAAAGAATAAAGGAAGAACTTAAAAAAAAGAAACATCGTAAATTAATATTAAAGACAGATCAACCTACTGATTATTGGTTACTTGATTAATTTTTTTAGCAATTCTCAAGTAATGCTTAAGTAATGCTTAAGTAATGCTTAAGTAATTCTTAAGTAATTTAACCAAAATTTTTAACCAAAATAAGCAAAATAATGCTTAAGTAATGCTTAAGTAATTCTTAAGTAATTTAACCAAAATAAGTAATTCTTAAGTAATTTAACCAAAATAAGCAATAAAAAAAAGCAATGCTGTTGGAAATACTAACAATTGCAACAAACACTGCAGTTTTATCATTGGTTGGATATGTTGTATTTAATTTTTTTAAAGTTAAAAATAAATTATATCCGTTTTTTGAAACGTATAAAATGAATGCTGAAGAATTATTAAGCGAGCAAATTGTGGAAAACATAAATATTGATGATGAAGCGAGCGAAGTGAACGGTTCCCTTCAAGAAAAAAAACGCGAAAGATTATCATCCGTTGTTGCTGGTGGGAGTAGTAAACAATATCTGGGTAAAGAATTACAACTGTCAGATATTGATAAAATGACAACAGAGCAAATAAACAAACTATACTGTAAATATGAAGCAAGATTGGGAGCTAGTATGACCAAGACATTAGGAAACTCTTTTATAAATTTATATGTCATGGGTGTATCAAAGTTTTTCAAAGTTGTTAATCCACCAATTTTAATACAAGACTTAGAGGAAGATCCTTTTATCAATAATGCTTTAACTAATACATGTTGTGAACTGTACTATAGATATGGAATGTATCTTGCTCCTTTTACTGCAATATTAACAACAGCAAGACATATTGAACCATTCGCTTCGCTCGATTTCCGAAAAAAAGATGAAAATAATGACATAAAAAATGATGAATGAAAATCCTGAACAAAAAGAAGTATTTAAAAAACCCAAACCAAAAGACCCAAAAAGAGTAGCTGCTGGTAAGAAAGGTGCAGAAGTAAGAATAAGAAATGCAGAATTGAGAAAAAAAGAAGTGGAAAAATTCAAAAAAGAAAATTCAAAAATCAAACAAATAACAAAAGATTCTGATACAGAAACAGATTATGAATCAAACGAACATATCCCTTCTGTCAAAAAACACTCCAGTTCCCTAGTTGATTACAAATTTGTACTTTTTCCTATAAGTATTGTTGGATTGGGATTGTTTTTTTACAACCAAAGTAAGAAACCAGAAAGAATGATTAAAGAAATAACAAAACCAGAAAAACAAAAGAAAGAAATTGATCCTTTTGAATTTAATTAAATTTAGTACATTAAAATGACAACTCAAAAAGACGGAAAACAAATAGCAAATATGTTATATCATGCTGGAGTGGAAACATTGTTAACAGTTGGATATGCAGAAATAGGTAAAAAGGTATTAAGGAGGCCAGCACCAAAAGTGGATTTTAATATGAATGATGTTGTAATGTTATCCATTGATATATTACTTGCGATAGCAACAAAAGATATGTTGATTAAGCAAGGTATTATACCTGCTGATATCATGAAGTAATTTTTGTTTTTATAAAATGGCAAGTGCTTTAACAATGATGCTTGGTGGGGCAATAACAAATGCTTTTGCATTTTCAGGGAGTAATTATTTATTTTCACATATGGGTAGTAATGCAAATGAAGAGAAAATAAGACATGATAAAGCTATAGAAAAATTAGAAAAAGCACAATCAGAATGGAATAAAAAAAGAATACAAAGATTAGATTTTATAAATGAACAATTACAAAAGGAACATCATGCGGTTCAGACTTTTGATGATGTTGACCAGGCAATGAAACTATACTATCGTGTCACGAATAAAAAATTAACTTCATTATCACCTAAACCTACATTAAGTGATTTTTATACTCCATCAGAAGACCAGAAAAATAGAGAGATTGCATTTGTTGTTGGTGGTATGACATTAACTGGTTTTATTGTTTGGAAATTAAAATAAAAAATAAATACAATTTACGTTTGTATGAAAAATTGGAAAAATAAGAAAAAATTGATAAAAATTAGAGTCCCTAATTTCTGTACTTTTCCTGGTAAAAACAGCAAAATTGCAGAAAAAAGTATGTACTATTCCTGTACTTTTTCTGTTTTTAGGGGTATAGAGAAATAAAATAAAATAAAAAATTAAATTTCAGGACATGGTTTTTCAAAAACATATTCATAAACTTTATCTGGTCTAATAAAAGCATCCCAACCAGGAGGAAACTTAGATAACTTTTTACCTTCAAACTTTTCCATTACTTCCATTTGTTTTGAAGTTAAAGGACATTCTCCATCATCTCTTAAACAACATATCTGATAATCTGATAACATTATTCTTCCTAATATAACTTTAGCGTCAGGATCATCTTTCTCAGTATAAGCTTCAATCATTTTTTAGTCTTTTATTTTTTAAAATAAAAATTTAAATTATATATTTTTTAATATCCATAAGGAAAACTTCTAATTAGATTTTCATTTTCATAACATACCATTCTTTTATCAAACATATAATCATAAGCTTTAACTTGTTTAACTGTTTTAAGTTGATGATCTTTTCCTATTTTTATGTTGTCATATTTTACAGTTTCATATTTTTCATTTTCAGCAGTAACTATTTTTATTTTTTTATCTAATGTAATCTTTTCTTCAACTTCAGCATTTAATCTAAAACCTTTACAACAGCTAACTAGTTTTTCTGTATCTAGTTTCATAGAATAATCTTTTGGACCAGCAGATATAAATTGTTTTATATGATTAGCGTTATGTTTTGAAACAATTTCATCTGTTAAATCTCCTAATTTATTTCCCATCATACTTTCTATTTTTTTACAAGCTTCAGAACCATCATCATTATAAATACAAGAATCTGTATCCATGTATAAAACTCTTTCTTGAAGAATATCCAATAGTTCGTATAATTTTAATCTAGCATGTGCTGTTGTAAACAAAGCTATATAAACATTTACACTTGGATTAGGTTTAGAGTATTCTTCTTTATTTTTATATTCTGTTAAAACAATATCTTCATCTAATATCATAGTACTTATATCTTTATATTTTTCATTAAATACTATTTTAGTTATATGTTCTAAAGTAAAACAATATTCTTTTTGTGTAAAATTATCTCTCATACCAAAATGTCCCCATAAATTATTTAAACATATTTTAGCTATAAATCTTAATCCTGAATTGTACTTAACTTTGTCAATATCTAGATCATAAGCAGTATTATCTATAATGTATTGTATTTTTGTTTTACATTCTTTATCGTTTTTACAATCATTTTTACAATATTTAGGATCACATTTACATCCTGAAGCTTCTTGTTTATATTTCATAAACGTATCTACATAAAGTTTAAATATATCTGTAGATGTTTTTTCAAAATGTTCTAGTTCATATATTTTTTGTAATTCATAACCTTTTTCTATTGCTTTATCTATTTCTATTGTAGACCATGTACCTACTATAACTCTTTCCTCATTAGAATGTATACATTTTTCATTTTTAATATTTTTACATTCTTTACATCTTTTTATTTCATGTATTTTATCATGTTTATTTAAAGTAGGATCATCTATGTGTTTACATTTAAAAGATATTTTATTCATA